GCCACCCAGCCACTCACTGGGGGGGTGTCTCACACTTACCCCCATTTCCTGCATCCACCCCCTTTCCCCTTCCCATCGCCCCGCCAGGCACCCACCTCCCCTGCCCCCCAATCTCCCTGCCCAGCAGCCATTCCCGCCTGATCCTGCGGCTTCACGGGAAGACTGCGTAGTTCATTTAAGGTTTCCAGGGGAGAAGCCAGCCCCCTGCACCTACCACCCCTCTCCCAGCAGTGCTCTAGTGGGTCTGTTGGGGCAGGCAGCTCCGAGTTAAATCCCCCCCCCCCGCAAAGTCAGGAGATTGCGCTGCATCCACCTGCTCCCGGCATTCACCCACCCTGTTCCTTCCACGATTCGCAGCTGGATTCAGACCCATCCTCGCACACGCCGGCTGCGTGGCACAGTGGCCCTGAGGCATTTGTCTTCGGGCCAGGCGGGACCAGCTGCGCCTGGCCTGTTCACAGTCTGTATCGGCTTCATGTGGCAGCCCAGGAACCTCCCAGCGGTTTAGCGTTATTCCCCCCACCATTTTACAGATGGGGAAACTGAGGCACGGAGTGGTGAAGTGACTAAGCTGAGGTCACCGAGTGGAAGAACCAGGGAGAGATTCCCCCGGAAGTCCTGACTCCTAGTCCCTGCCCTGCTCTCACTGGGAGACAACACCTCCTTCCAGCCCCTCTAGCTCTAACCATTATGCCTTCGTGCCTTTCCCAAAGCCAGAACTAGACCCCTTCCAACAGAACCCAGAATTCTGGTTCCCATATCCCCTTCCTCTTGCCGCTCCACCCCCCACGTCCTTGCCAAAGATCCCAGGAGTCCTGCTCTAACCATTAAACCATGCTGCTGCTGTACGGCCCATTGTCACGACCTAGGGTCCATGCAAGCTATGCCCATGCTGCATGCAGGTGGGCTCCCTCGTCCTGAGGATCGGGGGCCGCTTTGGATCCCCCGCCCCTCGCCTCTCTCCACCCTGCGACGAAGGCAGTCATCCCTACTGGTCAGGCCCCGCCGGCAGCTCTCGCTTCACTCCAGCATGACGAACTCCAGGAGTCGAATTGTACAGGGCTTTCCAGAACAAAGCTACCAGGATCAGCCACACAATGGCCAGAGAATCACGGGCCCGGCACCCAGCGTCACCCGCTGTCCGCTGAGCTGTGGGGCGCGGTGGAAGGAGACCGC